TCTTTCAAAGCTTGAATTATTTCCACCCCCGTGCTCTTCGTGATTTGATGGTTTGTGGCAAGAAGCCTGCTGTAATTCTGATCGTTGTTCCCTTGTAAGTGATCTGTTTCTTGTCTCTTGACGGCTTTTAATATTCTGTTCTTATATTGGATTTCTGGAATTTTGATTATTATTAGCCTGGGTGTAGTTCTGTTTGGGTTATGGGTGGCTGGAGTCCTGTATGCCTCATACATTTTGAGTACCTTTACCTTTTGCTAAATTAGGGAAATTCTCCTGGATTATTTCTGTGAATAGCCTTTGTAGTTAATTTGTTTGTGTCCCTACTTCTTCGTTTACATTCTTAATTCTTAAATTATAGATCCTCTTACCATCTTCTAGCCTTTGTATTATTGCTGTTTGTTTCTTATTTTTAAAAAGTTTTTCCTTTCATGCTCCCACATTACAAATCTGTCCTCCAGTTCAGATAATCTATCCTTAGTTTCTTTCAAGCTGTTATGCCAGCTTTCAATAGAGTTTTTAGTTTCCTGGTAATCTCTTTGAACCTGCTTCACGTATTCTATGTTTTCTCTATTTTCTCCATCAAACAATTCTCCCCTTTTTTTCTGTTCTTCCATTCCACCATCTGTTTTTTCTTGGTCGGTGCTTAGCATTTCTCTAACTATTCTACTTATATCTTGCGTTACTTCATTAAATACTTCACTTTTGAACTCGTCTATGAGGCTCCAGAGATAATCGCTGTATGTCTTTTGGTGCCGTGTCTGATATTGCATGTTTTCTGTCCTCACTCTCCTTTGCATTTACCTTTCCTGGATCAGTGTTCTCAGGATTGGGGACCGAGGATCCTTTCTTGTTGCCACCTCTTCTCACATTTTTTGTTCCTTCCATACAGGCGTATATAGGAGGCCCAGTTTCTTTCTTTGTGGGTTACAGTTTGTTTGAATCCACCGGCTAGGTGTTCCTGCCCACTGCAGTGTACTAGGGAGAAACAGACCTGGGCAGCCTATGTTGGGCCCACCCCTCCAGGTCAACCTACTGAAGGCTTCACTGCTAGGGTATACCGCCAGGCACAGGGACCTGGTTTGGGCTAGCCTACTAGGTCTTAGTCTGTCGCTTCACCCAAGCAGGTGCTCCCCACCAATCCCACTTGAGAGGGGAATATGCGACTAAAGTCACTGCAGTGTTCTGTTCCGGCTAGTCTGCCCAGTCCCAGAATGTCCTTTGTTGGAGCCTCGTAGTCTATAGAAGGGTTCCCCATTCCTCTCACTCACCAAGGGTCGATGTAGGGCTTCCCGCCAGTTCCGTTCTCAATTCAGTTCGCCAATTCCTGCTCAGAGCTTTTGCATCTCTATCCCTGCTGAGCTGATTCAGACACAGCGGCGGCGGCAGGAAATTCAAATCGCGGTTTCCAGAGGTTTGGGTTCCAGCTTCGGTGCTGAGATTTTATCTGTTCCCGTCATAGCATCGGGATTGCATTTCCAGTTGGTTTCTCTCAGCTTAGTTCGTTCCTGGATCGGCAGGATATATCTCCCCTTGCTTAGGACTCCTCACACCACATCATTCCTGGATTCTAAGCTGGCTATCTCAGAGAGCCTCCATAGCTGCTTTTATCTATCCACCATGTTCTCCTGGAAGTCCCCTATTTTTCTAAGGTCTCCCATGTCTATTTCATCTACGTCATCCTTTGTTTTTGTACTGGGGATCGAGCTCAACCTCGCGCTTACCAGGCAGGCATTTGTGCCATTGAGCTATATCTCTAACCCTTCTTCTTTGTTCTTTAAGACTCACTCCAGATTTCCTTGATACATAGATACTCTTTCCCTTTAATGTGAATCCCCACAATCATCTCATGATGCTGTATTGCACTTTTTTTCTTGCCTGTCTCTTACCTCTGTACTCCAGCAACTAACAAGGTATCACTCAGTTATTTTTTCAGTGAAATGATAGAAAGGGTAAAGGAACAAAAATTTCTGTGTAGTTAAAATAAAAAGCAATGTGAACAAGGTCTAAAGAGAGGCACTTCATGAAAAAAATGTTCTACCCATGTCACGGATGACTGATACCTGAAGCATTCCTATAGATCAACAAGGAAAGCCAGTGACCAATAGAAAAATGAGGAAACAAAATTGGCCAGCTTTAGGAATAAGAATATTAAAACTATTACTTTTTAAAGTAATTTATTATTCAAAGTATTAATTAAAAGTACTCTGAAATAGTGTTTTAAGCTTTGAGATTAAAACCAACATACTGACACAGTAGGGAAGCAGATATGCAGGGATTGTAAATTGGTAGATCCTATAAGAGAGAGTTGGCATTCTTCCAAAATTACAAGTACAAAGAGCCTTTAACCTGATGATTTCACTTACAAGAATTTATCCTGCAAGATGCCTGAAATGATTATGTGCAGCATATACAGTACCACTTTGTTATAATAGGAGGAAATGGAAACACTCAGAAAGTAGTATCAGTGGGAAACAGACTTACGTAAATTATGTATCCATTCAGTGCAGGTTGTCTGCAATCATTGAAGGAGGCAGCTCTGCAAAAAAGACAATATCCAAATTCAGAACAATTTGTAGTGTACAATGTTGGATTTATGTTGAAGAGAAGAAAATGAAACCACATGAGCTAGCAGAGAGAACAAAGGGTTGTATGGCTGAGAAAGCACATTGTTAGTAGGGTTGGGAACTGGGATATTTTTTATTGTCTTCCCTTTTCAACCTCCTAATCTTTTATTAGCATGTTTTACCTATTTTAAAAATACAATTTTTTAAATAAAAACAAAGAAATTACAAAGACAATATTGATTGTTTTGGCAATATATAATTAGTGTTACAAAAAGTAACACAACAGACAAATTTCCCACAGTGAGGTAAATAACAAAAGTACTTACCTTACTTGTTGCTGCCACAAAACATCCTAAGTAAAAGGAAGAAAGGTTTACTTAACTCACAGTTTGCAAAAGTTTCAAGCCATAATTGACTGGCTCCAAAACAGGGTGGCATGATAGACAGGCAAAGAGAAACAATTCATGGCGGGCAGAAGGCATCAAAGCAACAAGGAGCGACCATAGCTCTTTCTGTCCCTTATTTTGTATTCAAGATACTTAGAGTAGGTAGCACTCTCACCTTTAATCTTAGTGCCCTTGATCCTAGCATTGAATCATGAATTGACCCATCATCACACACTCTAGATCTAGTCCCCTCTGAAAAAGCCCCACCCGTGAATGTGAGGCTTTGGGGGGACATCTAGACACAAGCCATAACAGTGCTCATTAATATTTATTTCATGTTTCCCTGTGCTAGGTAACTTTAATTATTTCACTTAATCCTATAAATCCTTGGAGAAACATGTAGTTTTAGCCATATCATTAAGACATTGAGCCAGATGTGGTGATGCACACCTGTAATTCCAGCACTTAGGAGGCTGAGACAGGAACATGGCCACAAGTTTGAGGCCTATCTGGGCTGCTGGTTTAAGATCAGCCTGAACCACACAAGACTGTCTCCATTTAAAAGAAAAAAACAAAAAGAAGAGGTGGAAGAAAAGGAAAAAGAAGGAAGAAGAGGAGGAGAAAAGAAGAGAAAGAGGAAATGGAGGGAGAAGGGCTGAGATGTCCACATATTAAGAGATTAAGAGCATGTTTGAACTCAAATCTTTTTGTTTCAAAGTTGAGATTTATTTTCACTAAATCATCCTGCTTCCAATTAGTTACCAATTTAAGTTTGCCTAAAGTGGAACTGTACATACTTCAGTAGTCGTCAGCAGCAGTTACCAAAAATGTCCACAAGATGGAGATGTTGGGTGAAAGCAAACATTTTTTTAAAAAGCAATGCTACGCCATCAACAGGCATTTTAAAATAGATGTATCCTGTTTTCTTAAGCAACATGCTATGTATCCAGCTAGAAATTTTCGTATATTATTTAATTCCTTTTTCATTATAATGCTTGTAAGACTTCATGTACCACAATACTTTCTGAGTACCATATGTATATGTACATAAAAATTCACTTAAAAACTTTTCAACAAATACTACAAGATAGTTGCCATTATATGTACTGTAAGTAAGGAAAAGAGCATAGAAAGAGGAAATAAGAGTTCACAACTAATAAATGGAATAGCTGGAATTCAAATTTAGAGAGTTAAAAGAAAAAGCAAAGCAGTGTGGTGGCACACACCTGTACTCCCAGCACTTGGGAGGCTGAGGCAGAAGGATTGCTGTGAGTTCGATGTCAGCCTGGGCTAGAGTGAACTCAAGGTCAGCCTGAAGTACCTAGCAAGATCCTATCTCAAAAATAAAAACTAAGTAAAAATGATACCAGCTGTTTATTTACCGTTTATGGTACTGAAAATCAAACTCAGGACCTTGTGCTTGCCAGGTAGGCACTGAACTATACCCCTGGCCCCCAGCTTATTTTGATAGTGTGACTTCATTAAGTAAGTTTCAAAGAAGTTGGGGACACAGCTCAGAGTGCTTGTGTAGCATTCACTTAGCCAAGGGTTCAATCTCAAGCATGGAAAGGAAAAAAAAAAAAAACCAGCTTTTAGTTAGCTCTTTTGTTAGCTGATATCCCCTGGGTTTGTATCCCTGCTTGTTTCCAAACTAATATATAGAGAGACAAAAGCAAAAAATAATACCTCTTAGCTGTGAATTAGTGGACAGAATTTCATTCTTGTTTGTAGAAAACAGCCTAGATCCTCTGTTAGGAAATCAGAGTTTCTTACCTTCTCCCAACCATGTATGTTTAATGTTATATATTTTATGTTGTCACATTTCTTTCTTTCTTTCTTTCCTTTTTTTTTTTTTTTTTTTTTTGCTGTACTGGGGATCGAACTCATGATCTCATGCCTGCCAGGCAAGCGCTTATGTCACTGAGCTAAATCCCCAGCCTATGTTGTCACATTTCATCATGGAAACATCGACCTAAGGAAATGCCATATACTCTGTGACACATCTTAAACATGTAAGAAAAATAATTTAGTACAAATATTTTGTTCCTAGTTGCAGAACTTGAAGTGAAAACCAGAGAAAAATTAGAAGCTGCCAAGAAAAAAACAAGCTTTGAGATTGCAGAGCTTAAGGAGAGATTAAAAGCAAGTCGTGAAACTATAAATTGTTTAAAAAATGAAATCAGGAAACTTGAAGAAGATGATCAGACAAAAGACATATAAATAGTTCTGAAGAGAACGTGGTAATGTGTTAATAAGGTGAACTTCATGAAGAAATGGGCTTCATGCAGATGCCATGGTGTATCTTAGAGGAACATAGTTGTCAACTATGGATTTCTCAGCAATGGAGTCAGAATATTCTGTTCAGCCTTTAATGGAAAATATCTGTGTAATAAGAATGGATGCTGTTTAAGCATTTTACCAATCCATTTTAGGAAGATTCTATAATATTAAGCACAGTTTTTAAAAATTTTTATTGGATTATATGAGTATCTTATTTTCCTTTTGGCAAGCATCAAAGTATCATTATGAATAAATAACCTGTATACATTTTGTACTTCTGTAGTAGTTAGAATTAATGATAAGATTCCAAGCATGTGTATTTTATTTCTTTGAACTCTTAATCTGCCTCTGTTCTACCTCTTTTGTATATGATGTGCCCAAGTAGTAAGTATTTAATAAATGTAGTTTTGGACCTGTTTCTGTCTCGTGATGTGTTTGATTTTTGAACCTCCTTCAATACAGTTAACATCCCTTTAGTGTTCTCCACATCTTAAAGACATGCTTTATATCTTTTTAAATTGTTGCCCTTACAAGCTTTATAAAGGTGGTACAAAGGACTCTGTTGTCTGAAATTTCTGCTAGCCTTCTGGGGCTTGAAGGTGGCACTTACAAGTGTGGCAGGCATCGTTCAGGTATATCTTCTCGCTGGATGGCTACCAGGCCCATGAGGATAAAAGTTCCCACAAAATAGGAGAGTGAGGATAGACCACAAAAAGTGAGGGAAAAAAAGTCTCATTCTATTTGGGAAATCTTGACATGGGAGATCATCCATCTTCATAAAGTCCACACAAGCAGGATTACCTTTATGTTATACGTGTATACAAGAGTTCAAAATGTGTCATCAAACTGAATATGGTGGAATATGCCTGTAATGTTAGCTACTCAGGAGACTGAGGCAGGAGGATCACAAGGTTGAGGCCAGCCTTGGCAACTTAGTGGAATTGTTTCAAAATAAAAAAAGGTTGGGATGTGGCTCAATGCAAAGGCCCTGGTTCAGTCCCCAGAACTGTAAAGGAAAAAAACTTAAACAATCGCCATATGGCTCACCCAGTCTACTCCTAGGTATAGTGAACTGTAAACACGTGCACACAGAAACTTGTTTGTGGGGCCAGGGATATAGCTTAGTGGCACAGTGCCTGTGAGGCAAGCATGAGTTCATGAGTTTGATTCTTGGTACCAAAAAAAGGCAAAACTTGTGTGTGGATATTTGTAGCAGCATTATTTATAATAGCCACAAGTAGAAGCAACCCAAGTGTCCGTCAACTAGTGTGTGAATAAATCAAATACAGTCTATCATTACAGTGAATGATAATTCAGCAATAAAATTGAAGTGCTGAAATAAGCTACAATCTGAAAGATTCCAAACCCCAAAGCCACATGCTGTAATACGTGTGTATGATGTGTTCAGAAGAGGATAAACCAAAGATAGAACTGAGGATAGGGAGTTACTGAGTTTGGGGTTTCTTTTGAGGCTGATGAAAATTTTCTTAAATTAGATAAGTGCCAGTGGTTTATAGTCAACTTTATGATATTTTAAAAACCAGCTTGCAGGGAGGGGGAATTTAAAGAAAAGAATGGAAGGGAAATGGGAAAGAAAAAAAATAAAACTATATCTAAATACAAATACCGTATGATGAATATGATCATTATGTATGGCAAATAGGTCCAAATAAAAGTAAAAATTTTGTGAGAACTGGTGTGTATACTTTAGTGTGTAAATTATACCTCAGTTTAAAAAATAATACTGTTAACCATTTACTGAGTGTGTGCTCCAGTCTTAGCTAAAGAAAATCCAGTGAGTACATATCATTATTACCACTTAACAATCGAAGTCCAAGAAGATTAAATGATTTGCTGTAGGTTACGTACTAGGAAGTCAGAGCCCCAACATCAGCCAAGCTGTACTGATCAAAACTGATTAGGTTCTGGTTAAGTACAAGTATAAGAATACTTATGTTTATATTAACTGTATTTCTATCCCACAAATCAGTTGAAAAAGTTAATAGAAAATGTGCTAAGAATATGGACAAGTAATTCACAAAGGAAAAAGTACAAATGATGTTCAAAAAAATTTGAAAACACTTATATAAACTCAAGTAATCAGGAAAATACCAATTAATAAAAGAGTTTTCTCATTGTAGAGGCAACATTTAAATATTTCAAGTATGCAGTTACAGACTGGTACTCAAACAGTTGGTTTGCATTAAGATTACTAACCATTGGGGCTGGGGATTTAGCTCAGCGACATAAGCGCCTGCCTTGTAAGCAGGCAGTCGTGAGTTTGATCCCTGGTACCGATAAAAAACCAAAAAAACCAAAAAAAAAAAAAAAAAAAAGATTACTAACCATTGAATAGTGGCTATCAGAATTTAAAATTTATCTACTAGGTAAGTAATTTTACTGTTAGGAGATATTCCCATATTGCATAAGGATATTCATGGCTTTTTGATTAGTAGTGAAAAATTGAATATAAATGAAATGTCTACCATCATGTATACAATTTTGTGTAAATTCTTAGAAAAATTGAGTTATTTGAAGTAGAGTAGGTGTTGGGGAGAATGAGTAAAGGATAAATGCTTTTTCTGCCCGAGAATTTGACTTGATTAACTTTCTGTCTTTCATGCAGCTTGGTAGGATAATACGTCAATAGCGCTACTAGGCAACAGTATATGTGGCAAAAAAGCCCCCCTTGGTAAACTATATCTGGAGTAAGAGAACTATCAATCCTTAGCAGGAAGTAACATTCTTGGACTAACCTGTTGTCACTTATAATCAGCAAATCTCAAATGGAAACCCTGGAAACTGTACCATGAAGTTGTTAGAAGACATATCAGCTCTTGGGGTAAATGAGTAATCAAGGCAGCTTCCATCCTGGTATGTTGCATATCTTGGATTAAATGTGAGCTGCAATGTTCAATTGTTAGCTGCAAGGAATCCTGGGAGTACTTCCCATACATGGGTGGCAATATGTGCTTCCTTTCGTGTAGCCTTTGGAGTATGGGAATGTGGTCCACAGTAGGACTGTGAATTAATATCTAGTTGAACCAAAGAATGCTCCCTGCTGGACATAGCTTTGTGGGCTTTCATGATAAATTGAAAGTAAATTTCTAAGTTAAAAAAATTAGTTTATGTATAATTTCCATTTCAACTGGTAGGATCTTCCTCTTACTCCTTAAATACGCCTTGAATCTCACACTCTCCCTCTTTCTTTGTGTTAATATTTTCTTCCTCCCAGACTAAAGTCAGCTTGCCTTCTCTGAGCTACCACATCCTGGTGTTTGCTTCTCTTTTTTGGCTATCCATTCACCTGGAAAGGAAAGGCTGGAATTGATGGCCTCCCAGCTCTAGGATGAACTTTATGTGTTCCCATCCTTGATCATCCTGTTTATCTTAATAATTGTATGTGAAGTGCTTGGCAGACCTCCCATCTAATAAGTGCCCCATAAACTGTTGCTGGCATTTTGTTTATTCTCTGCCACCTAACTCCTGGTGCCCCTCCTGGGCCTGTTCCACAGCAAGGCACCAATCTAGTCTCAGATCTTTGCTTTCACTCCCTCTATGCTAGTCTGTCCAGTGCTGGGCACAGTGTTTCCCATGTGTCTCAGTCTGTGCCAGATAAGTACATAGATCACTGCATGTCAAAAACAAAGACTTCTAGTTATGGTACTATTCATATGGATCTAGTTATATATGCTAAGGTTGTCCTTTCTGATTTTAGGAGATTATACAAATTTATAAAACTTTTTGAGTCTAGTGAGTATTTTGTATCTGTAAAGAATAACTCAAAGCTCCAGGACCATGGTCCAGTCTTGTAGGATAGGAATCCACTTTTTTTTTTTTTTTTTTTTTTTGAAATGAGCCAGACAGCAAATATTTTAAGGTCCCAATCACAGTTACGTTTTTTTTTTGTTTTTTTTTTTTTTTTTTCCTTTTGGTACAGGGAATCAAACTCAGGACCTTGCACTTGCCAGACAGATGCTTGTGATGCTGAGCTATGTCGCTGGCCCCAGTTACTTAACCCTTGTAGTGTGAAAGCATAAGCAAATAAGTGCTGTGTTCAAATAAAAATTGATTTTTTGACACTGAAACTTGAATATAGTTTTTACATCACAAAATATTTTCCTTAATTTCAATGTTTCTCAAACACTGAAAAAGTGCAGAAAAACATTCTCCATTCACAGGCCATATAAAACCAGGCAGTGAGCCAGACAGAGCCCAAGGACTCTGACTGATTCTTGCTCCTTTCTCTGGATTAGAGCAACATCAGAAATGCTGGCCCCAGGAGGGAGCTCTATGATTTGCTTTGTGAACTCAGCTGGTGATTAACCCCTTGTAAATGTCCTGAATTAGTCCAGGTTACCCTTAAAAGGGAAGCACACTGACTTGGTTTCTTCTGTTTAATATCACCCAAGGCTTGTAGCCTTCCTATTTCACGAGTGTTGCATAATGTCACGAGAAATTAATTCTTTAGCCTCCTAGATTCATCGCACTGGCTTTTTCCTCACTCTAATGCCCACATCATCAGATTCCTTGGGACCAGATACAAATGTAAGAGTTGTCAGGGATTATCTGACCTCTCAGCAGCATTTGAAAGAAATTAACCACTTTCTTTTACCTGGAATTTCCTTTCCCTTTCTTATCATTATTTTTCTTTTTTCTTCCTTTTTTTCCTTTCTCTCTTTTCTTTAGTCTTTTGAGCCAGTTCTTTTCAGTCTTTTGCAGCATGACCCATTCCTCTGCTCAGCCTATAATTGATTTTATTTGTATTGTCATTTTCAGTACTGAGGGTTGACCCCTGGACCGTCACACTGAGATAATCCCCAGATCCTTTATATTTTTTATTTTGAGTCAAGGTCTTGCTTAGTCACTAAATTGCCCGGGCTGAGCTTGAACTGTTGATCCTCCTGCTCCTACTTCAAAGTATTGAGATTATAGGTGTGTGCTGGGGTGCCAGACTACAAATGGTATTTATTCTCTGAGGTTCTACCCCAAACCAACTTTTTCAACACTTGTACTTATTCATACTTTTAACAACTGTCCTTGAACTAACTGTCCTAAGGCTAGATTTCTAGCCTAGATTGCCATGCTGAGCACTAGACTCTACATTCAGTTATTTTCTAGATAATATGTTTGGGTGTCTGCAGATACATTAGTTGGACATGTCTAAAATTCAGGTTACCTATTTCACTCATATCCCCACGATGAATACTGTTCCCTGGTAGATGGCATCAGTATCAACCCAGCTGCCCACATTGTCAGTAGTAGATAGTATCTTCCTAACTTAGATACCTCCGGCCAGAACTTTGATCTTTACAGAAATGAGTCCTAGCACTATGTTTGTGTTATGTGAGGCCCTAACCCTCATCTGACTTAAGATTGGTTTTGAGCCAGTGCTTAACCCAATCTGAACCATCGGA